GTGATTAATCTGTTGCTGACTTGTAAACACGCATCTTGTTCACTTGCAGGTTTTCCGCGGTTGAAAAATTCTCCAATTAGAGAATTAAGAGCTTAAAGGCTATAGTAATAACTTACTTGAAAATTCTCTTCCCTCAAGTTGCAACTGAAAAATCATTTCCTCAAATATTAGAAAGCTTTCAATTTCTACTAGATATTCGAGAAATTGGCAAATATCGTAGTCTTTAAATAAAAAGATTTTAATAATTAATCGATACTTACGCGGTTTATTTAGAGGAAGAGAAATAAAAAAATTTCTACGGAAATATTTAGGTTTCAATCTAACCACATATTTGCATCCGATGCTATAATGATAATTATTCTATGATCGTTTGTTAAACAAGTTCATCAGCTGTCCCTCTTTTTTATCGAAGAAATTTGAGCTTTTTAACTGAGTTTTTTTATAGGTTTCATAATTTTATTGGGTATGTAAATATGAATCCGGAATTTAAACACAGATGTGAACGCCAAATGTAGAGGACATAAATGTTCAAAGTTTTGCGTTTTTCCTATAACTTGGATATCTGGCAGCAATAAGCAGTCGTTGCAGTTGCGGCCGCATATGGATGAACAGAAATGTCGAGTTTTATGCTAAATAAAAACATATCTTGGCTCGAACCATTAAAAAACAAATAATTTTTGCATCGTACTATCGCTGGGGATGAGGCATTTCAGACGAACAACTTCGTGGCTAGATCCAGACATACCTTACTCGTCGACTGGGAGACTGAATTGCTTTTGAGCGACCGGGAAATGTTATTAGATGCGTTCAACTCACTACGCTTCACTCCTTCCAATTACTACTGGCTTGCTTCGGTAAGTCATTCACTTCTTAAGGAACGCTGCGATTGGTACAAATGTATCAAAAAAAAAAAAAAAAAAAAAAAAAAAAAATGGATCAAATGAATGATTCGGGGCAAAAGGGAAAGATTTTTAAAAGCGTGACATCAACAAGTTGTCAGGCAGGTGTGAAAAATGTATAGCTGGCGATGGGAAATACTTTGAGTAAAATTATTTTATACAGCAGCTCTGGGTTTTTTAAACACAAAAATTCGGATTTCGTATTTACATACCTATGTATATGTATGCATGCATGCATACGTATGTAAAGAGAGATTACGTAGTTGTCTGCTTTATTATTCGGTGCACTGTTATGTCAAATTTATCACATCGCGTTATTACAAAATTTCAGTGACTCTTTAATGTATGCAATATAAGCTTAAATAATTTTCTAAGCGCAATTGCATTCATTTCTCAAAGCTTATCCGCACATACATCAAACCTTTTAAAAAGTGAGGTCGATAGATAATAGATATATATTTACATAGAAAATATGTGTACATACCGGTTTATTGATCATGACACAGTGGTTCGGATAATTAATAAATGTATTGAGTGAGAGAGAGAGAGAGAGAGAGAGAGAGAGAGAGAGAGAGAGAGAGAGGGAGAGAGAGATCATATTAAAAGCGTTACAAATATAACGGTAACAAAGCAAGCAAAGCGATCGGATTATAAAGAACAGAGTACCGCTTTCATTGACACAATTATTATCATCTATACGACAACAAACGATTGTTTGCCCAAGTACACAACTGCCAATTGCCTAACGTACGTAATAGCCTAGGTCTGTTAAATAGGCGTCCGTCACCACGTCCGCCCATTATTCTTTCTTAAAATTTATGATAATGCAAAAGATGAGATGTATGAGTAAATTTTGTCACATATTCATTCAGCCTTTGGATAACAGATCAAGTTCCCAAGTGAATGTGATGCCTTCGTCAACTTACCTATAATTAGCGAAAGTCTGAAGAAAACCTTGAAAAAATAAACGCTTCGAAATATGATTATCAATAACTTACGGCTTATAGAGAACATTCATAAAATTGGTTTTGAAGAAATATTTCTGTTAGAAATATTTCTAAACTTTCGAGAGAAAATGATATCGAGCTAATATCGAGTTAAGACATGCAAATTTAGTTTACTTGCATGAAATGATTGTGATATCAGTTAATTTTCATTTTAACATGAATAGATGATGCTGCTGTTAGTTTAGGTCAGAATATGTTTTAAGCGATTTCTAAATTTACTTAAGGATTGGCAAGATTCAGAAATGCAGAAATCTATTTCTTCACTATTATCTATGGTTTTTTTTTTTATTAAGCTGCACGTCAGTCATTACTTTTTCCTTTTTTTTTTGTTTTTTTTTTTTTTTTTTTTGTAATTTCATGATAATTGTGACAACATAGATTACGCTTAAGTTATATTATGCGACTAATGGGCGAATACTATAACGAAAGCGACTAAAACTATGTACACAAACCAATGTGATTACAGTTCCGTCGTTTATATATTAGATATATATGTAATGAAATGTTTAGGCTTACATAACTACATAAGAATTATTTCCGTCCTTTATCGATCGATACAAATGCTGAAGCGAATTGAAGGTAAAATCGATTTAATTGTATAATTTAACGATTTGTTGCACGACTTGCATACTTTTATAAAAATTAAATTTTATTTAATTTATAAAAATTAACGACACTAGTCCAACATTTGCTCTCGAGCACATGGCTATGATAAGCTGCGATACTTTAAACGATATATGTGCACTTATAATAATTAAATGCTTAACTATCTAATGATGTGGCACTCTGCTATACGATTAACACGTGCACCCATAAGCTTGCAAGAAATTGAGAGAAGTAAAGAATAAAACCTTGATATATGTTATAGCAAAGCGTCGTTCGAAAGCGACTCTTCAAAGAACAGGTTTTCCTTTTTTTTAAATAGACTTTAGAAGAGTGCCGTGATACGATACGATTATAATAAAACGCTTAAGCAATTAGAAAACGTCGACTTTGACTAATGCAAAAATATACAATTTCTCTCTACGTTTGTTGTATTAATTTAACTTTTTTTCCGGTTCCTTTACATAATATGTCGTTCTTACTACAAGATTCAGAAATACGTATTAGAATCTGAGAAAGTTTATAGGCACTTCAAAAGAACTTTGGCTTATGGCACATGTTGTCATCCAAGTTGATGTCAACAAATTAAGTTTAACAAGTCCATAGGCAAGGCCATCAAACAACCTGCATCGATTGGTTTAATAAATCGCTTTATATATTTTCATTATAAAATATCAAAAATTACATTTTAACCCTTTCGCGGGAGACATCCCAAAACGGGACCTGAAATCATCCAAGTTTAACAATAGTCAAGAATACGAAATTTTTGCTATCATAAGATATGAAAAATTACACTCCCTTGTCATTATTAGATGAGGTCCAAGAAATGAACCAACGTAATTCAAATTCGGTCCAATTTTTATTAAATAACCTTGAAAATTAAATTTCAACAAAATTTTTGCCATATCTATGAAGCGGTTCAAGAATTTGACTCATTCGATCCAAGTTTTTCAAAACAGTTTCTAAGCTGAGATGCTATTACTCTTACTGGTTATATTTGTCATAAAAGTGATTTTTGTGGGTCAAAAATGTACTCTTAGCCCCAAAATACAAAAAGGCATGTTGCCTGCATTTTGAGTACAGAGTTGGCGATTAAAATAAAAGCTGGACACCTCACATAATTTGTAGTAATTGGGCTAACAAACTTCATAATTGTGTAGACGGGAGAGGAATTTTTATATCTTTTGGCGATCTAATGATCTGGCGAGAGCCAAAGGACCATGTTACTAACTCTCATTTCTGCTTAGTAATGCGTTATTAAAAAATTGTCTTATTATCGGCTATTCGTCCGATACCTCGCTATAATACCTATTTCTGATAATTCAGCAGAGATATACCATTGACTTTGATGAAGAAGTGGATAATGATATATTACAATGTATTGTCCGTCCTTTACTTTGAATTTCTGCTTTATAGGTCCAGTGCTGAACCGTAAAAATATTCGGAAGGGATGTAAGACAACTCATAAGACATTTAAACTTATCGAAGGAAGAGGCGAAGCTGCTAACATATCCATTGCAGCATTGGAACTTATGAGAGGAGCATTTTAAAATGCCTGAGTATAAAAGTCTTCATAAAGACGCGACTGTTCATTCTTTAAAATTTGAAATACTTTAATGGCTTGATGACATGCTTAGACAGACATAATGTTGCTCAAGATTGACGAATATATATCAATACTTTAAAATTAAATCTAAGAGCTGTACTACTCCATAAAGGAAACCCACTTCCGTCAACTCCCATCGCTCTTGTCCCTCATATGGATGGTAACATGAAGCTATTACTGAAAACTGCAGACTATCAGAAATATAAATATTGGAAGATTGGAGGAAACTATCAAAAAAAAGCAATGTCGTTCGTTTCCTTTATAAATAGGCAGTCGTGCTCGAGCAGAAAATTACGAAAAGAAAATATGACCACCAAGAGTATATATAAAATCTTTTAGGAGAAAAAAAGGCTTACAGACAAGGATAGCTTTAGCGGGCATTTTACACGTATTCAGATGCGAAAGAACACAAAAAATTGCTTTATCCAAAAATAAGATTAAAAAGGTGAGGTCTACAAGCCCGTGTTATTAACAAAGATTTCTCTCTCTCTCTTCATAGCTGACCATAGCATTATTTGAACTGATCATGCGCCTTATCGAACTTGACCTGCGACAAAGAAATGATGATGAATTGTTAATATGTTTATATTAAAGAAAGTATGCACTTATTGCAGAATCCTCCTATACGACGGTACTTTTCTAATGTAATAGCGACACTTCGGATTATCACGTTAGGAAAAGCTTTATTAAAAGATATAAGAACAGCAGAGCATTTTGATGTATCGCGTATATAGATTCTTTTATTATATATAAAAATATCAATATATTCAATGTAGTGAAGGTAATGATTCTTAAATATAATTTTTGTTGGTACGAATGCAATGAAAAAAATTAATATTTGCACGTCTTTCGTTGATTTCACAGCGAACACAATAAGTGAATAGAATATTGAGAAAAGTGATAATTAATTTAAACCGAAAAATCTATTTCATTATTAAGGCGTGTAACAAGATATGGGCGTTCTTTTGTTGGACAATTTAGTTGGTCAAATACCTCGACGGACATGGGTTGCTTATCCTCACGGCTTTTAAACATATTATTCCAGAAGAGATTGACCGCTGAAAGTAAACAAATGATGAAGGAATCAAAGTTTCACAATTAAGCACATGTAACATATTCATGGCCGCAATGAACCCTGAACCCAATTGAATGCCCGCTTTAGAGCAATAGTGATGGCGTAACATTAGGCTACTAGGCTGGCTAAGTGAGATTGCTTTTCAGGCGATTGTAAATTAGTAAATTGCATCAAGCTTTAGCTAAGATTCCGATAGATTGATTTATATAACTGTTAAAGATTACAATTGGTTTTCTCTTTAACGATTATATGTTGTTTTGCATTTTCGATTGTTGGATCGGCTAAGAAGCTATATTTCAAGATTTAATCTTCTAATCAATCAACTGGTCGGTTAATCATAATTTGGACGTAATCTAGCTGGGAGGGCAAATGTCCTTATGTGGTGTTCTAATTTCATGAGCAAGTAATGTACGCTTTATAGAATTCAAGAGCATAATTCTAAGTGGCGCGACCCCTCCGTTTCTCGAGCAGTGGATGAAGCAAACAAATATTAATATAATATTTTGAATTATGTTAATAAGTTAAGTGACTGCTTGTTCACTCAACAAAGGGCGGGCATTACTTGACTTATATAAAAGTAATGTAGACGAGAGTTTTTACGTGCGAAAGCACAAATCATGAAGTGTATAAAATATTAATTTTATTTTAAAAGGAAAACATAGAGGCATGGCATTCTTGCTTGACTTGCCTTTACCGTATCTCTCCAAGTTTACATCCGATCATTTTTTCGGAAAGAAAATGCTCGCTAGAGAATTTTATCTTGAAGTGATAGTTAAAATTTCGAAAAGACAGATTCGAGAAAACCATTTAGGCCAAGGCACTTTTGTATTATCCATGTTGCATACAATTGAATTATTGGATTTTAATGTCGTGGCAGGATTTTCCTTAGGTTTTTCTTTGTTATCAATTGATATGAGCAGCGGCGAGCTTACCCCATTTATTAGGGTTCTATGAATTTGAGGGAGGAAACTGAATTCTTAAATCATTTAAATTTCGATCCTATCTCACACAATCAATCTTTCATATCATCTTTGAATATCTTGAAGACGAGATATCATGAGTTGATATTACGCTTGAAGTGGATTAGCAGGTATTATGTTTACTTACCATGTGCGTGGAATCGTTGACTTATATGAAAACAATCCTCGGAAGCATACTTCGTATTGGTATCGCCATTTGGTAGAGTGGGATAAGTTAAGTTTACGAAAAAATCAGGACTACTTATAGTAAAAGTCTGCAAAATACATATACAAATACAGGTGCATCTTAAGCTTATCTTAGTTTACACGCTTATGTTGTTAATGATGTGAAAGAAAACATATACCTCCGTGTTGAATTCGTCTCTTGCGGCTATTTGCAAGTCCCGTTCCTGCCACCTTTTCATTAGCTGATCCATAAATCGCTGATGGTCTCTAGATCTTCTGATGATGCATGGACACGATGCCGTTAGTGTCGTATAACATATAGGTGGCAGATTTTTGAATTCGGTTAAGAAGGACAAATTGAGTGCAGGCACAACATTAAGCAACAACCGAGGTACGTTTTCACGAAGATAACGAAACGTTTTGAGCATATTCGCTTCATGGAAGTCAATTGCATCCATCGGATTTGAATAAAAGCAAACATCGGAGCAAAAATCGTTGCTACCAATGAAAAAAGTAATCATTTTCCAGTGGTGTGTCATGTTGACTCGAGGATCATGCTTCATGCGTTTAACTAATATTTTCGCCATGTACGGCATATCGCGAGACATTGCCCCAGGCTCGGCTACGTTAAATCTGTATAATGTTGTAAGCAACATTCCGTCATATTTTCGAAAGATTCTCTTATCGATGTTTACATTAAATTGAATCGCTTACTTACTTACTTACTTTGAGTCTCTTTCAATAGTCAAACTATCTCTTAAACTATATCCGTATAAATTAGGATTGAATTGCCTTAGAATATTGGGTAAAGTTAAAAATTGCTGTAAATTTCCTTCACCGCCTCCTGACCAAGATTTTCCACGATTTTCAGTAGAAACTTGTAAAATATTTGTGGCTAAAATACCATTGCCCGCTGTCAACGAATCTCCGATAGCACCAACTATATCAATATCTCCCGGCCGTAAGCGATGCACACTGTTAGGTATTTGCAAACTACGCGCTCCTGGACCATTTTTCGTATCACAATTCGATAATAAAGGATATGCAGTTTTTTCTTGAAGCTTCTATATATAGGATTTAAGTGGAAATCAAATTTAGGATCATTTTAAGCTGAATTAGAATAACGCAAAGAAAACTTGCTTACACCCCGTTCTTTTAATAAATTCAGTTTATGTTCATTATCACTAGCAGGATCCGTTATATGTCTTAATAAGAAGCGAAAATCTCTCAAGAGAGGAACAAAGCGATCGTCAAGCCATGTATGCTGGCATTCAATTCCATAACGAATATTAAAAAGAAAAATTATTGAATATAAAGCAAATCCATTAACTTGACTCGTCCTCCACATGCCGTTTAATTGACAAAATATTTATCTAAAAATATTTATGTAAAAGAATTTGTATAACGCTTAACGCTTAGAAGTTCGCTATCAACTAAGAAGAGCTCTTACAATGTGATGTGAATTTATAAGTAATCAAAGGGGAGAGCTTTTCTAATTACATCTATATAAAAAAGTTTAAACAATATGATAGGTAACAAATAATAAAACAGGTATTAGTAAGAAAGTTGTATTAATTACTTGAGCATAAGTCAAAGTTTAATCATCCAATTGTTGAATCATTGTATATTTTCGTTCTTCTAACTTCAACGACTTCCCATATTTTCTTATTTATGTTATTCTTATTGTTACTATTTCTGTTGTCTTCTTTTGTACCTTAGTGTGGTTGCTTGCTTTCACCCTTTATTCCGTACGACAATGTCTGACTGAGAATATGAAGCCCTTCTTATGCCAACAGTCCACTTTCCCCTAGGAGGGTTACTTCACCAACTGCATTACGCTTTATTTATTTGTTTTCTCTTTCAATCTAACCAAGTACTCTGGGGATATAATCTTTCGGCCTGGAAGGAGTGAGGAAGGAGATGCGAAAAGGGCCGCAGCCTGGGGGGTTTCTTGTGCTCAATCGGTGAACTTTTATGCCTTTCGCCAATCAGTTTTATGCATTTGCTGACTAATCATTGGCTGTAACTACTACGAGCAAAGTTAACTCTAACGCCTTGAGATGTGAAGTCGCGAACACTAACTTCTTACGTATTCGGCTAATCATTCAGACTTTTTTCTAAATCCACACTGGTCAGCCTCATATTAATTGTTGAACTGTATAACTGCAAAACACGAAAGGCTGACTACCGGCGTAAAACTTGATCGCATCGACATCTGTTGACTATCGAAAACTAGTTGAGGTGTCAGCATGTGTTAATATTGAAACTGTAATTTTAAAAATGATAGAAAAGAGGCGTTCGTTCTAACTAAACACTCAGAGAATGCTAGTAACTAATATAAAATAGTGGATCTCGCTTCACGTGAAACAACACATGATTCAACAATTGTTCAATTGATGTCGGTAGACATCTGCAGTAACAGTTTCATTCGATGTCCAGTGTGTGTTTTGCATTTTCACGAATATGTTACATTTTTGTATTATGTCCGCCTACATCGCAACTACTAATTAACTAAAGCGATCGTTTCACTCCCCAATTCTTTTTTTTTTTGTATTCCATTCGATACTTTGTGCGATGACGTTATTTATTTGTTTATATTTCTTTCTATTTTTTTTTTTTGTTTGTACCACGAGTTTAATATCCAACAAATCTATTTGGCATCCAATTGCTTATGGCATTCTATTGCAAACGTTATAACAGACCATTTGCACTGATTAAAGGTATTAGCTTTGAGGTAAATGTGAGTAACAAAAAAAAAAAAAATCCTTCATGACGCTGTATAGAAACAACCACGTGCATATGTATTGCATGCATAGCATACGTATGCTCGCATAAATTTCATGTATAGCAAGCATACAAGTATACATATTTATGTTTTGTATTCGCATCAAATCGCGGATTTTCCAAAAATACTGAAATTACATTCATTTCCGGCAATGTTTATTATCAGATTGATGTCCATGCGTTGCACTTTTCTATTCTAATAAACGTGTTTCATACCCCACTCTGTGCGTCACGGCTAACACTCGTTTCGAGCATTTTATTGCATTCTTTATGAAAATTAAAATTGAATTTCAGTCCCATTGCAGTGACTTTTATACTTGTTCTATTTTCATTTTCATTTTTTTTTTTTTTTTTTTTTTTTTGGTCTGTGCACATGTGCAGCCACAACAAACAAAGATTTGTAAAAAGTTTATAGAGATTTTGCAATTCAGATCGGGATTTATATTAAGCAAATTTTCCGTTTATGGGTGGTTTTAATAGCAAGAGTGCAGAGAGGTATTATACAGAGAGGACATGGAAAGTTGGCTTAAAGTCTTAGTTAAGTAACTTAACTGTTAATTAAAAATAGGTTTATTTTATAAGATCATGTATACGTGATAAACGACAAAAATACTACGACTGAAAGTAGGAATGTGTATGAAAGCGGCAATGTCAAGTACGAAGATACTACGTTGTACAATAGTTACATGTTAGATTCTACTATTCATGGGTTCGCTTTCTTTGTTTACAACAGCGAATATTTCAATATTGAATGTCGCAGTTCAAGCAACATATTACAATCTGTCAAAGCGAACATAGCGTTGACCGATCAAGTGACCTGAACAGACTACAAATGAAAAAGAAAATGTAGAAATAAGTATCGGTAGATGATTATCGCGTTGATGTGCTTGTACTAGCAGCATGGTAAATATTATTGCAGTGTGCATCGCATCCATTATCGGGTCTAAAAATCACAAATAATTAATGTCTCGTCACGTATCTCATTCGCGACACTTGTATGCTCGAAAGAAATTTTCTTTGGCTAAGACCAGTCGGCAGTGAAAAATTGTCGCATTTGAAAAACTCGAAATCTGTCGCACATGGCTAAATTGATGAACTCACAACTCTTGCCATAAACAAAGCATCGAGACCATTGGATATCCCGGAGAATGCGGTGTCGAGCTAAATGGTAATTACATTGACCGATAAAAATGTGTCCCATATTATCCTATATTTTTGTATTTCGTTTGGCAGATGTGCTACGAAAGAGCTTTACTATCGTCCAACGATGAGAAGCCTATATCGAATCTATCTTATTCCTATCTCTATCCCTACCTATCCTCGATAATGGCCTTTTCACATCCGATAGATACTCCGGCAAACCTTGCAGGTCCGAAAGCGCGACTACTTGATGAAAATTGCGGGTTAAAGAGTAAATTTCACCAAATACTTATATCTCTCGCTTCTTTTATTTTTCTCTTACTTATAATTAATAATTATATTTATCATTATGAAATATTATAAAATATTTTTTTTTTTTTTTTTTTCCAAACTCAATATGCTTTATGTCCTTTTCATATTCTTACAGTTGTTCTAGCTATTCGAACTGGATCATCTTCTCTGTAGAATTGCTTCAAGAATATATGCATAATAACGCCAATATCTGAAAGCCAAATAACGAATGGACGGACGGACAATATGCGAAATATACTTTAATCTAATCCAATAAGACAAAGGCTTTTTGAGATTGAGGTTAAAGATCCTTTCATGGAAATTTAAAAAAAGAGAATTTTTAGAAATATGAGGTAAGGGTGCTTGTGCTTATGTCTGCGCCAACTTTCAAAGAAAAACCTTTAACCTGTGGCTTGGGATGGAAAGCAGGCATAATATGCAAAAAGTCATGACAGCATAGGTTACATCGAGATTACCTTCGATGTCATACAACTCAACTCATCACACGTTAGCAGCACTAACTTGGAGTGTGCTCCCTGTTGTTATCAGCGGGCATTGATTAATTCTGATTACAATTGACAAGTTATTTGTCTATTTGAGCAGGGCTTCGATTTCACACGGCATTCACATATTGCGCAAGAGGTAGGAGAAATAATGCTTAACCGATAGATAATAGACTGAATAAAATAATTTTTTATATGTTTTTGTTTTTTTTTTTTCAATATACATTCAATTTGAATAAAAAATCAACCAAAACTTATTAATGCTTCCAATAACTAGAAAATGTTTAAGTAAAACATATGAGAAATATGTGTTCGGTTGCACAAAATATGATGGGGTTGATGCCCCCGCAATATTTTAAAGATTGTAGTCACTCTGTTAGTCGTGGGCGTGTTAATTGGAGCTTTTCTCCATCGACTTTTTGCTCAGCAACTAGAGCAATGTTTATGATAAGCTTTACATTAGTATCTCTTATGTTATAATTATTACAATTTTATATGTTTTTGTCTATTTTGGATGTATTTGTGAAAGGATCAGATTCGCTTTTCCACTGACACTTGAAATGGTCCAATAAATAATAGGCATTAATTTTGGATTAATCTTTGTTATCGATTGTAAGTTGAACAGTTTTGTGCTCATTTTGCGAGGGCAGGTCTAACGTGGATCACAAAGTTCATCTGCAATCGTTAAATGAAAGGCTTAGTCTTAAAAGGTCCCTTAAGCAGGTTTTTAAATGATATCCAAGAGTTTGAATGTAGTTCAAAAGGCAGATCTTTCGACGGAAGTCACAGACTAAACCTAATAACATCGTGTAAAAACTATTTTTCAGTTGCATGTTGACCCAGATCAGATTTTAAAGTGTGTATTTACCTACAAAGCCTTATGTCAGAGTGCCCGAGGGCGCAACGGATTTATTGGATAAGCGATAATCAATGTTGCTCAAGCAGCAGAAGTATCCTCATAGAAAGAGGTCTTAGTGCGTCCGAGATACCAGGTATGAAACAACAAACCTCGGGATAACCACAGCCACCACAGACAAGAGCACTTCGTCTTTGAGAAACCTGATCCCCCTGAAGCATACTCACAATATGTTTGACTTGTCGTTTTACGGTTTACGCCGCGTCAATATAGCTTCAGATGATCTCTTTTTCAACGCTGCCGAAGCGTCTCTTGCCTTTCGGCCTTTTATACGTCCTCAAAAGGAACCCAGGAGCAAGCCACCCTTTCTCGAAGACAAGCGTCTTTGACGAGAACACGTCAACACAACCCCGTTCCCACTGTGCCACAGCCCTTTACTTCTTCGCATCACAACCAACTGAATACGTATTCGAGAACAGTATAAAATTCTTATTTTCTTTTTAATAAATTGGAAACGTTATAGGAAGACCTGATGTGTCGTCAATTCGGTTTTACAAAATTATGTAAACACATTTTCAGGTAATTCACACAACAAATGTGCAAACACCTGTAAAGGAATTTTATTGTTTCGCAAAAAAAAAAAAAAATCGCGAAAATGTTGGATCATTTTAGGCTTATGGAGTAGCGTTACGCGTTCAGCTCGGGTGTGTCGTCTTTCAATTGATTTAGACAGATTATAATTGACAGATGAATTTTTATCGCAGCGCTTTTTCGCCTACACCTACTTCCACTGTATATTCATGTGCACATACTTGTGGTTGTGCAAACTATTAAATTA